AGAGATGACAGATAATGGCCGTCCACCTGGGCTAGTGGCCGTCTACCTGGGCCTGCCCGAGCCACTTCTCCAGGATATCAGACTCCCCTCTGGCCAGGGGACATGGCACAGGCTTTAGAGCAGAACAGAGGGGTTACCACGGGCCACTGAATGGGGAGCGTTCCCTCCCCAAGAGTGAGGCCTGACCTCATGTTCTGGTTGCAGAGAGAGCTGACAGCTATTGAGAAAGCGGTGGCCAGAGTGCAGGTGGAGGCCCATCGCCTGGGCCAGCGCTACCCTGTGGCTCAGGAGGGTCTGGCTGAGTGGCTCACCAAGGTGCAGGGGGCCTGGGCCAACCTGGAGGCTAAAGCCCAGGAATGGAATCAGGAGCTGTTGCAGGCCACGCAGGGCCACACCTTTCTTGGGCGCTGTCGGGAATTGCTGTAAGCAGGGGTCCTGTCCGGACTGTTAGCTTAGCTCTGCCCTACCCTGGCTGCGGGGGAGTAGCACTTCTGCCCTGGTCCCGGAGGCTGCCAGGCCAGCTCTGCTAGGAGCTCTCTTTCCTTGCCCGGCAGAGCATGGTCTCAGGAGCTGCTTTCCTCGGAGCTGGCTAGGGAAGTGGTGGGGGCTGAGCAGCTCCTCGAGCAGGAGCAGCATGAGGAGCTGGCCCAGGAAATCCAGGAGTGCTGCCGTCAAGCCCAGAGCACACGGCAGGAAGGGCAGCAGCTGCTGGACGACGGCCTCTCCATGTCCCCGGAGGTGTGGACGGCGGGTGGGATGAGCCTCACTGCTAAGGCCTGGGAGCCCCAGGAAGGGTGAGGAAGAGGGTGGTGAGGAAGGAGCAGAAAGGAAGGATCTGGGTGGGCTTGGCTCTCCCGCTAGCCCTGCCGGGGTGGGAGCTCTGCCCAAGCTTCCATGCCTCTTCCTGCAGGTGGCAGAGTGTTTGCAGAAGCTGGACGGACACCTGCAGGAACTTCAGGTCACACAGGCCCTGCGTGGGCAGCGCCTTGAGCAGAGCTGGGGCCTGCGGCAGCTGCGACAAAAGCTAGAGCTGGCGGAGGCCTGGCTGGCTTCCCACGAAGGCCTGCTGCTGGACCCCAGCTATGGGGTGAGCGGAGGCAGATCTTCCTGTTGCCTGCTCATCGGCCTCTGGGCTAACTGTGGAGGACCAAGGGGGGCTGGCACCCTCCTCTGACCCACATCCTCGTTTCTCTCAGCGCTCAGTGACAGATGTGGAACGTCTGCTAGGCAGACACGAGGACCTGGAAAAACTGCTGGTGGCCCATGAGGAGACGTTCACCCAGCTTCAGACGATGGCACAGGTCCCAGGACTGGATGACGGGAGGCTGAGTATACTGAGAAGAGGCTTATGGGGTGGTCGGGTATAAGGCCCTGTCTTCCTTGTTCCTCGAGGCCAAGCACAGGATGCGAGAACTGTTTAAGCTAACCAGCCTAGCTTCCTCTGCCAGCCGGAGGGGATTAGTTCAGAACCTTGTTTCCATCTTTGGTATGGTAATTTCACCTGCTAAGGAGGGTTCTCACAGGTGCCCTGAATCTCCTCCTATCTGTCTGTCAGGGTTCCCAGCTCAGTACCCCCTGTCTGGAAGCTCCTGCTACTGGCGCCAGGCGCTCAACACTGTGATCTCACACCTGGCTGGGAGGGGCTCCTTCTCTCCTCTGGGAAAGGGTATTTAACCTGACATATACTGAATAAAATTTGGCATTCACCTCTTGGCGGATGACCCGAACTCTATATGTGTGTATACGTCTTGTGTTTAACCTCTAGGGACCTTGCCTCAAGCACATGGTGGTATGGAGTTATGGTCCATACCGGGAGGGTGGTGATGCAGACTTCGCAGGCGTTGCCCACAGTCGGGTAGCACAGTTTCTCAGTCTGCAAGTTAGGGCTCCTTAGGGCACTAAGGCCTTGTGGAGTCTTCCTCAGGGTCTCTCCTTCAGAAAAACCACCACGCCTGCTATGCCAGTGCCCTGGAGAGAGAGGTACCCCTGCCACCTCAGTGCCCTGGGGAGGGAGGTGCCCCTGTGGGCTGGCAAGAACAGAAGACTCCAAAGCTGAAACAGTCTTAGAGACCGGCACTCTTGGGGTGGGAGAAAACAGGGAAGGACTAAGATTATGGACCACACAGGAACACACACACAGAACCACACAAGATGGCAATCTGGTAGAGGCTCTCTGAACTGGGGATTGGTTGCACGTCTGGGTAAGATGAAGGACCTGCTATAGCCTGGTGTCCCCACTAGACCGGTTACCCCCTGGAGCATGAGCCAGATTACAGTGGCTCAGAGTGTCCAGGCTCCACACTCTAGAGTAGGCACAAGGGGCCAGGAGTGCAGGGCCCACTAGAAATGAGGAATGGGTGTCTCCTGTCTCTTGTCTGTGCTGGGCCTGACATCTGGACCCCTATCTTGTATCCTCAGGAGGCAAAGGGCACTCATGTCATAGAGCAGTCTGTGGAACTTAAACAGCAGCCTCCTGCAGAGGGGAGGCAGGTGAGTAGAAGCCCCCATTGCAGGCAACTCCATGTTCAGTGGCCACCTGGCCTGGCACTGTGGCTACCAGCAGGCTCCTGGGTAGCTTCCTAGGTGACCTCAGGGAAGGCTAGTTTCTATCCACAGGTCTCGGGAAGAGAAGGGGGTCCTCTTCCTCCCCCCGTTCCTGGTTGTCCTGTCATGATCCTCCCTTGATCCCTCTTCCTTCCCCATGAAGACCATGGGCAGTACTTTCCTGGAGAGGTCTGGGGCCATCTTCCCTTGTGTCTTCCCCACAGCCCAGCACCAGCTTCTGGAACAGTAGCCATGGGGCGCTGACAAGCAGAGCCCTGAGCCCGTTCCCGGATAGCAGGAAGGCAACCGAAGTACCAGGTGGCACTGGGGTAAGAGACCTCGGGCAAGTAGAGACCAGTCTCAGTGGGGGAAACTGAGGTGGCCCCTGTGACCCCTGTACCCCATCTCTCCCCAGGAGCTGGCTTACGTAGCCCCCCTTGTGCCCGAGTGTGAGAGACCGGAGGACAGGAAGCTTAGCTTCTCCCCAAGGTGAGAACTGCAGGCCTGGCCCCTGACAGCAAGCTCGGCTGAGGAGCTGCAGGCAGAGCTGCAGAGCGGAGGGCTGAAAAGCAAGCAGGCTGAACTGGCAGCCAGCCTGGGTGGCATGGCAGATGGGCTGCAGGGGAAGGAAGAAGGGAGTGGGCGGGCCCCAGGCTCCCAGTGTTGCTTGTGTTCTTATGTAGCTACTCTAATGTCTAAGTGGGACCTGATGTTTTTCTCAAAGAACTTAACTCTGGAGGTTAAGAAATTTGTCCCAAGTGATGCAATTAATTAGTAGCAGAGGTAGATTGTCTGGCCCTGTCCCCTTTGGGGACTACTGCCCCCACCCCCTCTAGCCTGGAACTTTGTGGGTTCTGTGTTCTGGTAACTGAGTGCTAGATCCTGAGGTCTGGACTGTGGCCAAGCTCCCACCATCAGGAAGATGTGCAGAAAACTCCTTGCCATGTGTGCCTTTCTGCGTCTGATGGATTCTCTGTGGACTGATGCGGTCCCAGGGGTTCTGCCCAGTCCCTTGGCCCTAGCTCCCCTCCTCCCTGCTCTGGGTCTGCTTGGGAGTGCCCAGTTCCCAGTCACACTGCAGGCCCCAGTAGGAAGGCAAAAGAGGGCGCATTCACCACGCCCGAGTCTCTAGGACAGGGACACACGCAGTGGCTTCTAGGAGGAAGCTGTCTTAGCTAGGGTGAACCTCCTCTGGTTCTATAGCCTCGAACCCAAGGCCAGGTTCCCAGCTGAGAGTGAGGATTCTGTGCTCAGGTAGGAGATGGGTGGAACGGGTTTTTCCTCTTATTCCTGAGAGGCCAGGACTCAGAGCCCACCCTGCTGAGTGGGCTGGTGCAGAGACCACAGGCTCCCTTTCTTGCAGGGGCTCACTCCATCTCATCTGCCCTTCATGTCCTTTACACCTGGGGAGCCCCTGCTGGTACCAGGTCCTGCTCTGGCTATCCCGTAGGCAAGAGGCACCCTGGATGTCCACCCCAGTCCTCATTCTGAGACAGCAAGACCTCAGCCACTGCTTGCCCCTCTGCTCTTCATCTCTATCCTGATTTGATTCTCTGTCCCTGATCCCAGGGCCTAGTCAGGGCCAATGGCCAGAAGTCTAGAAGCTGAGGGATGAGGGAGGTTGAATACAGGCTCTTTTTACGGTCCTCAGCCATCTTCACCCATGCCTTTCCTACCTCCAGGCTAGTGGGCTTCAGGCCTCTCTAAAAGCGGGGGCACTTGAGGCATGTGAAAGAGACTGTGAACACCACTCCCACAGGTCCCCAGGGCCAGTATGACAATGTCATACATCTAGACTGATGCACAGCTGTGTGCCTGGCACCTCTCCTGCAGGACTCCTGAACTCCAGCTTGATTCAGAGGGTGTGAGCTGAAGGAACGGGGCTTGTATGAGGCAGTTCCTGGTGGCCCTGGAGTTAGCGGAGGGCATCTCGCACGTACTCTACCACGGAGATACCTCCTTGGCTGTCTTTACAGCTCGCTAAGTTGTCTAGACTAACCAACCTGGTTTTGAATTGTGACCTTCCTGCCTCAGTCTCCTAAGTAGCTGAGATTACGTTTCAAGCATCCCAGCTACATTTCCAGGGCAGACCTGAGACCGGCTTGCTGGACTGTGAGAACCAAAGCTGTTACATCTGCTCACCACCCCTACGCTAGGAGAAGATGGGATGTCCAGGGAGGCAGAGGGCCGGACACCATGTCATAGAAGATTCTATGGTGCACGGTTCCTAATCTCTGCTCTCCCAACAGGCCTGAGCCTTCAAATGAATGCTGAAGCAAGAGTGAAGACATGTCCGGGGAACCCGTTGGCTACTGGCTCCAAGGCACCCTTCCTGGGCTGCTCAGGCCCAGTGTTCAGAGGACAAGCATCGCTGCCACCATGTTGTTACCACTGAGGCCCGAGATGAGCCTTCACCTTTTAAATGGACCATGGCCTCACCCCAGGGTCTCCGTTTGGACAAAGATGGCAGTATGTTCATCTGGACAGGGATAGAATTTTCTAGAGGGGAGCTCACATCAGATGTCTTGTGGAACTAAGAGCCTGATACAACAGATAATCTTGGGACAACGCCCCCCGAGCATCTCCCATTTATAAGAGCCCTGTAACATGTCAGTGTCCTGTCACGCAGCCAGCACTGTCCATCTCTCCATCCCAGGGGTGAGTTAAGCCATTCCGAGTGCTAGGCCCTAGCGTCTCTCCTTGCAGCTCACATCCTCGACTGTGACAGGGCTGACAGGCTCAGTGCCACCGCTGGAGATTCCAGACCCATGTCTCTGTGGTGCTGTGCCTGGACATCAGAGTCCCCAGAGGCTCTGGGGCACTTGGTGATGCTGGTCTTCAAGTCAGAGCAGAAGAGGAAGGAGTGGAGGGTCACAGGCTCCCAGATGGAAACCCTGCCAGGGAACCCAACTGTCACTCAGACCTGCGCTGTTTGCGCCGCTGCACGGCCTGGCGTAGGGCCTCCCGCAGCCGTTCCTGGTTGTTGCAGATGTTGTAATGTGTCAGGCGTAACAGCTTGTCCACATCCTCCTGGCTGTAGGTCACTTTTGTGTAGTGGTACGGGGAGTCAGAAGAAGACAGGTTCACCTTCCCAGCTGCCTTCTCCTCCTGTGTCCGTGGCACCCCTGTGGAGAGAGGCCAGTCTAGGTAGGGGGCCTGGGGACACCTGCGCTGAGGCCAGTCTGGAAGAGAGGTGGCCATGGCTCACCAGGGGCCGAGTGGTCCTGGAAGGAGTCATTGACCAGAGGGAAGTGCAGCACGGTTGGGGCTTCAGGCTGGGTGGGGTCACAGAACACATGGCACTCCTGAGGTTGGCGCTGCTCCTCAGGGCTGGGTGAGATGGGTGGGAAAGGGATGCCCTGCTCCTGGCAGAACCGGCTCACAAGCTGCAACTGCTGCTGGGCAGGCAGAGCGGGCATTAGAGGGCCCCAGTGTGCTCAGCACAAGGCATTCACAAGGCCCAAAGACCAAATTGGAGACTCAGTCTCACTGTGTCCTCCCTTCCAGCTCTTCTAGGGCTCCCCTGAGTTAGTGGCCAACAGCCAGCCCTCTGAAAGTGGGAGCATCCCGAAGTGGCAGGTATGCCAGGACCTCTTCAGGGTTAGATACAGCAAAGAGAACTGGGGTACAGACAGATGAAAATATCCCCGCTACTCAGCACCCACTCCCAGAGCAGAGCTAACTTCCCCCAGTACGGGGCGCCACTGTCATTCCCCCTAATGGGAGCGGGGCCAGATACTGGATCCTAAAGTAGGTTTCATTTCTTATTCTAGAAGTTTACCCTAGATGGCATCTCCCCAACCTGAAAGGCTCCATGGAGGTTGTAATCCAGTGATAAGATGAGGTCCACATCCCGTGTTGGCTGCAGAAGGGGTGGGCAGCTAGTATTGATGAAGTAGCCCACATCCAGGAGGCAGAGGTGGGGTTCCATGGGTGTCAGCTGGTTGGGGAGCCCATCCAGTTTGGTAGCTACAAAGGTTTGGGGTGAGAGAAGCATCATCTGTCATTGTGGGTCCAGGCCAGGCCTTAAAGACAATCTGTGGTCCCCACAAATCCTGCCAGAGTGGCATACCCCAGGGAGAGAGGAAAGGAGGTGGGGGTGTCGTGAGGCTCAGGGATGCCGAGAGCCTGGACCACACAGGGTACCTTTCCAGGTGGAGAAGTGGGGGTGGTGGAAATAGTCCTTGTGGAAATGGAGGCCACGCATGAAGTTGTGGGTAGCCTGGGCAAGTGGCCGCTTTGTCAGGAGGCCAGTGAAGAACTCGGCAATTCTGCCACCTGTTGCTGGTGGCTCTGCAATCTTCAGGTGGGGGACCTGCTCTTTGTCTGTAGAGACGAGAGGGGAAGCGGTAACATTAGGAAAAGAAGGCCTCTGATTCTTTGTGGGGACCCTAGACGGTAAGCAGCTGAGATCCACGATGACTTAAAGATACTCCCAGCTGGCTGCCCACCAGGTACCTACCCTGGTGGAAAGTCCAGGTACCTACCCAGGCTGGCCTGATCCTGAGCCCAGCGGTCCCAGAACTGGGTGGGTTCCGAGGCCCAGTACAAGCTGTCTTGGAGGCTGGCTGCAAACAGGTTGCTCCAGATACCTGAGAAGGGGGTGTCAGGGAAAACATCTCAACTGCTGCTGCGATTCGAACCCACCCTCCCTCTGGCAGATCTAGGCAAGGGGAGGGCGTCCCTCTCACCCAGGCCCCTCTCCCAAGCCTCCCATTATCTAGCCTCCTCACCTTCCAGGAAGCAGATTCGGGACTCAGGGAGCTGCTTCACCAGCCGCCCCATGAAGAACTCGGAGCCAAAGAGCTCAGAGGGGATGAAGGCCCCGTACTTGGGAAAGCCGACTTCATAGGGAGAGAACTCACACCATTCTGTGAGGACAACACACAGCTCAGCCATGGAGCCAGGGACCTTGGGCTCCCAGATACCCACCCTGGACTCGCTCTATTTCAGGGTAGTCTGGGGAAAGGGAGGCTCAGGCCTTGTTACAAGCATGGGACTTAAGGAGCTGGCAGGATGACAGACTTTGGTACTTGAACCAGGAGACGAGGGCATCAGAGTCAACTCTTCAATACTGGACACAATGAACCCTACCACCCACAAGAGCACGGACCCCAGCTCTGAAGCCACTCACCCCCAAATTCAAAGGTGGTCAGGCCCCGCTCCTTGCTGTTGAGGGCACAGTAGATAGGCAGAGGGTTCTGGCCTCGACTCAGGGCCTCCCGTTGGTCTGAGAGTTTATGTTCATGGGGCTGAGGGAAAGAGGAACTCAACCTAAGCCCTCAGCTTCCTGATGCTGGGAGTCTTTCCCATGTAGCATCCAGAAGTGGGTCCATTTCCAGGCAGATTTACCAACCCAAGGCCCACTTTTCTCCCTACCTCATCATGCAGCAAGGTCTCATTGATGAGGGCCCACAAGTTGGTAAAGCAGGTCGGGTGGCCCAGGCGGGCACGCTCAGCCAGCTCCTGCCGGTACCTCCACAGCTGGCTGGGGGCCAAGGCACCCAGCTTGCTCTTTGTCACCTGGGTCTTCAGCAACTCGGTGGGCCCTGTCAAGTCCTTCTGAGACCACTCTGGGTCCTCGTAGAGGTTGGCCAATGCCCTGAGGGAAGCCAAGGATTAGGGGAATGTTGTTACCAAACGACCCTCCATCTGGACTTCACATGTCTTTGACTTTCTCCTGAAGGCCAGGTCTGGCCAGCTCCTTCTTGTTCCCTGGAGTACATTGCCCCCTACTGCCAGCATGTTCTCAGTCCGTGCAGTTTGCGTAGGGGCCCACGAGGCTTAGGAAGTCCCTTTCACTAGAGTCCTCCCGACCCCGCCAGCTCTGCAGCCTCCAGCCCCCAGCACGCTCACCAGGTGGATCCTGAAGCCCCAGTGATGTAGGAGATGCAGTCCAGGAGCCCAAGCTCCCTCAGGCCAGCTAGCTGCCCATATAAAGAAGTCATGGCCCGGATCCCACCACCAGTGGCCATAACAGCAATCACAGGGATCTGGAAGACAAGAGCCAGGTTCAAAAAGGCCCAAGGAATAGAGAAAGCCACACTCTGGGAGGAAACGTGATAGTCAAGGGGCGATTGAGTCCTGGGACCAGCTCTGAGTTAGCCCTGATGATCTAGTCAGAAACAAACTCCTAACTGCTTCAAACATCGGGGGCTCCAGAAGAATGGCCTAACAAGTGCAAGCCCACAAGGAGCCTGAGATCACTTTCTGGAAGCCACCAAGGCTCCTGTGAAAGTCTCCAAAAGGCCCTGCTCTCCGTTGTTGGAATTCATTCCCCTGGGAACCAACTCAGGCTGGTCTGAACCTCTGGGGACCATTCTGAGTCAAGAGACCATCCTCATACCAGGTGTGTCTCATCAGCCAAATCAGTCAGGCGGGAGAGCACGGGTCGGCCTATGTGGAGACTCCCACCTGTGAGCTGCAAGTGCCTGGTGTATCATCCTGATAACATCGAGGAAGAGGAACAGGGCAGGCAGGGCTTGCCAGCGACAGGCCTGAGCTGACACCAGCTCCGGGCTGCACAACCCTCCCAGTCCTGGGCCTAAGCAGGGATGAGGAAAACTCCACCCAGTACTGCTCAGCCCCCAGACCTCGTCATCTTGCAGGTCTTGGTCCAGCTGTAAGGCCTTTTTCAGGGCAGCGGCCACCACCTGCTTCCTTTTGCTCAGGAAGGCCTGCTCCTCAGGACAGAGCCCACAGCCCAGCCGCACTGCCAGCTCCTTTGGTCTGAGAAGGAAGAGTCCGGAAGCAGTTCTCAGCTCCAACACAGAAAAAGGAACTGGGGTTGACTTCACCTGCCAGACCCTTGCCCTCTCTCCTCCCTTCTCAGCCCTCGCCACCTCCTGCTGTGGAGTGAGGGGAGGGAGAACTCAGAGCCATGCATGCATGTGACTGTGGCAGAGCAGACCATGGGACTGAGTGCACCCAGGGTCTAGGGCTGTCACCTCCAAGTCAAATCTCTCCCTCACCCACAGCTCCAAAAATGATGGCAGAGGGGGCAGAAACGAAGGCCCACTGTCCCACCTATTGGTGATGAAAAGCCACCCTCCCTCTTCTGAAGGTCACTTAAGGTCCCTTCTCAACAGCCTCCATGCCAAGGTTCATCCCTCCCTCTTCCTCTTGGTGTCCTAGCCTCCCTGCCTGCTTATCCAGACAGACACTGATCCTGAATTTCCCAGGCTGTGTGCTGGGCAGGGCAGGGGTGGCAGGGCAGGGCCCGCCCCCACCCCCGCCCCCGCCCCCGCCCCCATACTGTAGCAAATCCAAGTGGGAACATTGAGAACTGGCCTATCCACACTGAAGCCTCCTCCCGCTGCAAAGCCCCCCCTCCCCCCACACCCAGGAGCTGCTGTATCTCCCCTCCCCCAGGTCAGACTGACCCTCACTGAGCTGCCTGGGCACTGCCCCCTGCTTCCCCACTCCCCAGCAGGCTCTTACCCTTCTTCCTTCTTCAGTTCCAGCCTCATCAGTGGTTCCTGGAAACCATGAGTACCATGATGGGCCTCAGTGCGCCCCAGTCCATTCCAAGAACCCTTGGGCCCCAAACCCTTCTCCAGGGTCCATCCTTCCACCCATTGATTGTCTCGGGGCATGGCCTGAAGGGAGGATCAGCCACAAAAGCAGGCTGATTGCTCCAAGGCCAGGTCAGTGACAGGCCTGTGAACCCAGCTTCTCTTTATGACAGTTACCTGGGACGTGGGGAAGACGAGTCTCACCAACTCTGAAGAGGGTAGGGTGCGTAATGGTACCTTCAGCTGCTCCTGGGGGTCATCCTTAAGAGTAGGGGGAGAAAGGACCTTAGCAAAGACCCCACCAACTCCCTGTGGTGGGGACAGAATAACGGTGGGGAAGGGAACAGGAGGGGCTTCAGGGGTCTCAGGAACAAGGCGTTACCTGCAGGTGAACACTCAGATCTTGCTCCCAGCAGGCTGGGTAGTGGAAGCGGAAAGAATTGGCGCCCACAGAGGCATCCTGTGGGCCCTCGCAGGCCCCAGCAACCACAAGTTGAACTCTGCTCTCTGACCCTAGAAACAGGAACCAGAGGAGAAACTCAGGAGGGGATCTCTATCCACCAAATTCATTATCAAGTCTGCAGGGAAGTCCCTCTCTGACATGGTCCAGCTGGAGAGATGGAGCCCGGGGAGTCCCAGCGTGAACTGCCCTTACAAGTTTTGCTCCCCGAAAGCAGCCAGTACTAGGTTTCCGCTCAGAATGGAGGAAGAGACAGGAATGAGAGCAGAAGGGCCACCTAAGGAGGATGAACTCACCCTCTGGGTTGCCTGTCTTCTTCAGTTGAACATGCAAGCAGGAGAGCTCCCGAGCCTGTGGGCAAGAGATCCCCTTAGATACACACTGCACCCCTCTCTGGGACCCTACATTGTGGGCTCCTGGTCCCTGCTCCCCAGAACACTGTTATATCACCCTCAGTCATTAAGCATTTGCTTGAGATTTATTCCCTTGGGGAACGTGCAAACCAAGATCCCCAAGTCAGACCACACGACCCAGGCTGTGGTGAGCCCACTCAGCCTGGGAGAAGAGCTGACAGCAAGAGGAATGAGCTACCAGGGGAAGCCCTGGGCCCTCACTCACCACGAGGATGCCATTGCTGATGAGCTGTTCCTCACGGTCTGTCCTGGAAAGAGGTCCCCAGTGACTCTCTGCAAGAGCCCAGGCACCGCTCCTCTACCAAGGAGGGGTACCAGTCTCGGTGAGCTGCACTGCCCTTCCCAGAGGAAAGTCTCCACTGCCACCCACCAGGCGCTCCCGAGCCCCTACTCACAGACTCTGCAGACGAAATTCAACTTCCAAGCGCCCGTCCTCCTAGAAGAGAAGCAAGTTAGAGGCACCATCAACCCAGATGGCAGTGGGAGATACTGAAGTCATAGAGCTGGGGAAGAGCCGCTGTCCCTTTCCACAACTCCCTGTCTATGCCTTGGACTGTTCCCAAGAAGTCGTGCTGATCAGAAGGTGAGATCGAAGTTGGGGACAGGACTGCTCCTTGGTGAAAAGTCGCCTGGGAGGCCTGAGCCACTCCCTGAAGCAGGGGAGCCTCTGAAGCCCTATCCTCAAAACTGCCCCCCACCCCACTTCCCCACACACAGCTTTACCTGAGTGCTCAGTGAGAAACTCTGTCGCCGAGATTCCCCAGCTCGCAGAGTCCCTACATCAAACAGCACTGACAACACGGGGTCATCTTTAGTCAACAGGTCCTGGTCAAAGACTTTCAGTTCCACAACATTCTGGAAGAGGCAAGAGAGAGGCAGCTTATACAGGAAGGAGGGGATGAGAGGCAAACAGGGCAGGAGACGTGGTAATGGGCACAGGGGAAATGGCAAGGGTAGACTCCGTGCCTGGGCTACCTTGAGCAGCCTGTGGATCCGGAAGTGGAAGCTCTGATTCCAGACAGGGTTTCTGCTATTCTTGACTGTGCGTGTCTGGAGCGTGTGGCTGGAGGCTGTGGGCAGGTCCAGAGTTACATAGCAGTCAGAAGATGTCACTGCAGGAAAGAGGAGCACATGTCTTGTAATGATCAAGAACCCTTCCCAGCCTACTGAGTTTACTTCCTTCTTCCTGAGATGCTGTATCCATAGGGCTGAGCCTTCTGCCACTTTTGGGACCCTTCTCTCCAGTAGACCCCACAGAACCTCCCCAGCCCCTCCCACTGGTACTAACTCCTCTCAATCAGCCCCCACCTGTTCTCTGGGCTCAGCTAAGGGCCAGGGAAGCAGTGTGCTTACCTAGGTCCTTGGAAGGCAAGCCATTAGCCTGAAGGACACGGACAGTGAGCAGGCAAGTCCCCGCCACCTTTGCCTGCAGACAGATGGGGCAGGTTTGCTATAGGTGGATGGGGCCAAATGTGACAGGGCCACAGAGGAGGTTGGGACAATCTCAAAGGTCACTCATCAGAATCCCAGAGTGGCAAGAGACACCGAATCTACATGATGACACCTTCTCCTAATTAAACACCACACTGTGCCAGCTACATACCAAGGACTCAGCATGTATTTACTCAGTTGTCACACATCCTATTAAGGATGCTATGACCATGACCAACCATGGAAGAAAACTGAGGCCACTCTCTTGAGGCATGGTTGGGACTGGAACACAGGCAAGCTGACCTTTTAATGGGTATGGTTCCTTCTGTCTTTTTATCCTATGGCCTCACCTCCCCACCCACCCCTACCAAGCAGCTTTGTGGCTGGTCTGAAGTATCAAGGGAAAGAAAGGAATACATTGGGGTTTAGGCAAATGAATGAGCTGTAACCGGTGCTATCTACCCCATCCTGGGATGGATTCTGGGTCAGGATAGCAGCTGTCAACCCAGACTACCCCCACACTACTATCCTCCAGATCTGATGGGGGTCTCCAGAGCTCCTTCCAAATCCCCTCTGCTTCTGGAGATGTGGACATTTGCCAATGTGCCCAGGCAGAGGAAGCTTTTGCCACCTGGTCCTTCCTTTTGGTCTTCAGCCATATCTCTGGAAAGGTGCCAACAGTCAAGTTCAAGGAGATCCATGGTCGGGAGCAAAGCTGAGGAAGTTCATCTCTGAAATGGTCCCCGGGCTCCCACATGCCAAGTAACCGAGTCAGAGGCATGGAGCAGCTACTTCTTTTGAAGCCCCCCAGAACACTGGATAAGATCCCCAGAGTTCCCAGGGTCCATATCCAGGAAGTTCTGCCTGGGACCTGTTCCCAGGACAGACCCCAGCCCAGTTCTGGCCTTGCCCTGACTTCTCCTTTGTCTGATCCTGAGGCTGGAAAGCATCCCTCCCTCTGCTTAGAAAAGCCCATAGCTCCTCTTAGAAACAGCAGCAACCAGGCCCTACATGGGAAGCCAGGTCAGAAATGGGAGCCCAGTACCCTCTGGAGCCTTACCAGAGCCATGAGACCAAGTCCACGGGAACAGGTACGTGGGGGAAGTGGCCACAGGACCAACAACTGTCAGCTTTAAACCCAGAGACGAGGTGAGCCAACTGGCCACACATTCCTCTCAAATCCCTCCCACAGACTCCTCCGCTCCACCCAAGCCCCACGCCCACTGCTGACCCAGCCACCTGCCCAGGAAGTGAGACACCTGAAGCTGATTCTGGAATCAGTGACACCCCTGGAGTTAGCCACGGGCTCCCTGAGGTCCCACTCTCCCAACCAGCCCTAACTTAGAGGAGGGGTTCTAGGAGAACTTGCGGCCATAGGCTGAGCAAGTCAGCAGACCGTGGTTCCCCAAAATAGCAGTGAGCAGTGGGGCCGAGCATCATGTCGCCGTGGGTCCTTTCGCAACCTTCCCAGTGCCAGTACGACAGGAATGCCCAGTCTGAACTGGAGCCCTGGGCAATCTCGGAAGAGTACCTCGGGCCCCATCAACCGTAAAGGGGAGTGGCTTTCACATAAACAGCTCTTCAAAGCCATGTCTAGGCTGCCTCCACCCCTGGAGCTGGCTGGCCAGAGATGAGGCTGTGGGTTGGCATGCGGGGATAGGCGCTCTCCCTGCTCTTCAGCTGAGTGAGGAGTCTGGATATGGAGATCAACTCTTTCCTCAGAGAGCAGCTCACAAGCACCATGGTTCCCGTCCCTTCCTGTTTAGACTTAGAGAATAGGGGTCACTCTCGGGCTCCAGATCTGCCGGCTTCCCAGGAAAAGGAAAAGCAGTCTGGGACCAAGCTAGAGACAGCATTGGTGGCCCTGAACCAATCAAGTTCCAGCCAGCCAGTTATAACACAACTGTTGTGGGTAGCATCCCAAGCCCGCATCAGGCTTGCACCCCTCAATCAGGGTCACCCTGAAACTTTTACCTGAACATTTAAGCCCTTGGCAGGCCATGGAAGGCAATGTGACAGGGAGCTTGAGAACAGATATATCAGCGCCATCTTTTATTGACTGACTCCTCCATGCTGGTCCATGTCTATCCCCACAACAGCCCTGGGAGCCAGAGCCATTATTATCTCCACTTTACAGTCGGAGGGCTGATGCTAACACGCAGTGACTCACCCAAGGTCATAGCACTGGTGACAGGCACTGCTGTACCTGATCCACGCTTCCTTGTCCCTGTGTGGCAACTTCCTTGGCACCCTCACCCAGACCTGCCTGGGTGAGGTCCTCCAACTATATTTCAGGTTTCGTCGAGGCTGGTCTCAGCCCACGCAGGAACCCTGGCAGCAGACAGTACATAGGCAAACTCTAGGTTGCTTCTAGAATCAACCCCCAACACGGGCTGTCCTCCGCAGTATCTGTGAGGGTCCCGTCAGTCAAGGCCTGCAGCCCTAGTAAGGGAGTCCAGCAGCTGGAAGTAACTGTACTTGAGGTCATACTCCATGTCATACCAGAAATTCACTGTGGAGAGGACAGGGACGTGGAGGTGAGGGCCCTTCTTTTCAGTCGGAGCCACCCCAGCCAATACCTTGTTGGACCCTGGTTGCCCTGGGTAACCTTACCAGCAATGCAGCCGTGGGACTGCTGGACATGGTGAAACCACAGGGCTGGCAGGTACAACAGCTCACCAGCCCGCACAGTGCAGTGAAGGGCCTGTGCCTGGCTGTAACTGGGGTACCGGACCAGGTCTGGAGCCAGGGGGTCCAGTGGGATCCAGGGCACCTAGAGACACAGCAGCTGCCTGGGAGCAGGCTCTGAGGATCCCAAGACCTCTAGCTCTGTCCCTTCTCCTCCTTGAAGAGCATAGACTCAGGACTTTCAGAGAGGGGTGTCACCTCCCCAGACTTTTTGTGCCTACTCCCCAGGAGCCTACCCCTTCCCCAGAACCCAAGAACAGAACAGACACCTTCTCCATGGCCTTCTCGTCCACCACCCTAAATGTGCCCTCTTCGGTCAGCTGGTAGGTTGCTGGTGTGTACAAATCTGAAGACAAGGTAGAGAGAAAAATGACCAGCAGCCTTGCAGGCTCTCCCCACCATAACCAGTCCAGGGTTCCCTGCACACAGAGACCAGAGGGCTGGGAACCTCAGGCCTAGGCATCTAGCCCGCCCTGGGCTCCCGCTGCCCGCCCTCCACCACTGGCTACCAGCTCCTTTTAGGCCAGGTCACCTACCATAGGGAATGAAAGGCCGGTCACTGGGTGGATGTAACAAGAAGTGTTTCTCGCCAGAGACTACACAGTACAGATTCTCATAGTGGTCCTTGTGCACTGCCAACACATGGAAGGCCTGGAGTTGAGGGGAGGAAGGCAGTCCAGCCTGCCCTCAGCACCACACCCCAACAGAGCCTACAGAGAGAGGGAGAGCCCACACAGGATCAGCAGACTCGGAAACTCCAAGGACTCTAGCAAGCATCACAGAACTTGGCGACAAGAGACTGAGTATGGACTCCCCTTCTTCAGGAGGGGAAGCAGAACCAACAGGCTCTACGTCCCAAGCCCTGCTCTCCTATCTGACTTTGAAGAGGCTTCTCAAGACCTAGAGGGTATGGTGTACCCTGTCCCCAATGTCCCCATTCTCAAGAGAGACCCTTTGTGGTGTCCTAGTCCCAAAATACCAAAGGAAATCTGAGGACAGCTAATCCTTCCGAGGCCCACCTTTCTTTTTCTGCCCTATCAGCTCCCTCCCCACTTCAAGAGTCCCCACCTACAGGATGTCACCGCAGCTGCCTCGCCCAGCCAGAAGTTCACAGCATCAGGCATCTTTCCTGTGGGACAGAGTGAGTTAGTACCAGGCTGAGGACTTCCCACGCACAGGGCAGCTACTCAGAAATCTGGGTGGGAGCACAGGAATGCCAAGGAGTCTGGGAGGTGACGCTGGGAATGTGATCTCTGGGGCAGAAGGGAGAGCAGCCCTTCAGGGTTTCTGTTCTTATGTCAAAGCCTGGGTTGGGCAGGTAGGTAGAATCTGATCCCATAGAACCAAAACCAAAGGGAGAAAATGGGAAAGCAAGCTGACCCCTCCACTTCATCCCCATGCCCCCTGCTTCTTGCCCCTCCACTCACCCAGTGACTCAGAGGCCCAGGGCACATGGGACTCAATGTCTGACAGAAGCTGGGGCAGCTCGGTGGGCAGGTTGGAGCACTGCTTCTGCACGTAGAGGACTCCTGGGTGCTGGGCCCGGCCCTCTAACACATCCAGCACACGGCTCATGGGCAGGCGACGTTCTGCAGGCATCACAAACCGGTCCCCTCGTACAGCATCTGCATAGCCATCTGGGGTCACAGCCACACTCACCTCTGTGGAACCCACTGTGGCTCTGAAGGAATGGACCCTTGGTTTGTAATCTGCTGCTAATGTCCACTGGTCCACCCTGCCCCAGAAGGAAAACCTTACCTTAAGTAGGAGAGGGACCACTTCTGGAGGGCTGGCCAGTGTTGCAGCGCATTCCGGATAATGCAGGGCCTATTGGGGCACACCCAATCCCGATAGAAACACAGTGGATTTGGGGGCCCATCCAGGTAGGGCACAGCATGAGGTACACTGAGGTCTTAAGAAAAAATGAGGGGGTGTCTGAAATCAGTGGGTGGTTCCTTCTGTCACACTGTCTGCACAAGAAATCCTATATCATAGACGTCCTAGGCAAGGCTGCTGCTGACCAGGGAAGCCTGCAGAGTCGACCCCTCACTTCTCTGCCTGAAGAAGCAATCGTTCGGCAGCATCCATTAGGAAAGGGAGTCGCTGAGCTGGTGGCCATAGGCTCACTGTGATGGGGCCTGGCTCTGGGATCCCCTCCAATGGTGAGACTCACTGAGCACCTGAAATGGTCCCAGTACTGGACCTGGCCGTTGTGGATATCGGGTGATTCTGTCATCTCAAGCAGGTCACGGCCTAGCTGTCCGGGGAGAGAACTACCCCGTGACAACACCAGAAGTCAGGCAGGGGCTGAGCTGAGCTTTGGGTCTCATGGAACAGCAGCAGCATCCTTAGCCACCTTGGGCCAACACTTGGCCACTGGGCCACCTACGGAGACATTCTAAGTGGCTCTGTGTCACCTTTAAACTGGGTGTGGTGGCTCACAGGTGTAAACCCAGCACCTGGGAAGGGGAAGTAGGATTATCAGTTGGAAGTCACCTCAGCTACAAAACAAGTTCAAGGACATCCTGCTTCTTTCCCAGAAATCATCAGGCCTTTCTTTAAGGAAACCCAGGATTCTACTAAAGAAGCTAAGTACACTTTCACGAAAACGTGCTTATTATCCCAGGATGCAGCATGTAGTACTTAGCAGACACCGACGATACTACTGATGATAGCGTGCAACACCACACCTGGCTGTGGTCTCTTTTGATTTATCCAACCGATCCTGCCCTTGGCCTGGCTATCTCAAAATCCTGTAGATTGTACCTCTTTGTCTCTCAAACCACCCTTTCCTTCCCTCTGCTGCTCTGGGTCCCCGACACAACGACAGGCCCCCCCTCCCTCTGGTTCTCTGGGTCTGGTCACAATGACAGACCCTCTTCCCTCCGCTGCTCTGGGTCCCTGCCACACGAACAGCCCCCCCTCCCTCTGCTGCTCTGGGTCTGGTCACACCGGCAGGCTCCCTCTCTCTGACGGGCCTCCTTCCCTCTGCTGCTCTGGGTCCGGTCACACTGACAGGCCTCCTTCCCTGGTCACCCCTTTAACCTGTCACCTGTCAGAAAGTCCTTATCTCCGTGTCTATTTAGTTTTCCTCCACAGATTTTTCATTACCTGACCCTGGATAGTTTCTCACCCATTTATTTATTCATTCTCCGTCTCTTTCAGCAGAAGAGAAACACAGTGGCTTGAATGATCACCATGGTTCCTAGTGCATCTCTAGCGCCTTAGCACTCAGTAGGTGCTCAGCAAATATAAAGTCAAAGGAAAGTGACCCACAGTCTGGCTGGCTGCTGCTGCAGCGAACCAACTGGTCTTTCTGGGGAACCTCACTCCCTTTCAAGAGCACCCGTCAAAAGGCAATCTCATCTTGTTGTGCACTTAGTGACGACCCCTCTGATGGCTCGCTGCTACCCCTGGCAGAATGCAGTCCACCCTGTGTGCGTTCAGGCTGCTCCACGACTAAGTCCAGCCCACGTTTTTCCAGTCCGGTTTGCTACCATCTCATATCTGACCCTGTCGACAGGCCATTGACTCTGGCTGGGTTTCATGCCTGCTGTTCCCTCTCTGGGCTTTTACGAGAGCAGAGTGCTTTGCTTTGGTCAGCCTTACTGTCTGACCAAACACTTCGGGACCAATCAGCAAACCACAGACAAACGTCTACGGCCTTCATTTTACCCGAGGTCAGGCCCATTCGTAGTTCCATCTCCATGCCGCCTGCAATCCCTTGCAATCAGTCAGAAAGTGAGTATCTTTAAACTGGACCTGGGGACCATTTGAGAGACATTGGAGGGCCCACGAAAACTGCGGAGAAGAGCTAGTCATGTACTTGCTGTCGGGAACAGGGGTAAGAATCACCTAGCAGACCTGGGAGGGAGGAACAACAGCTCCCACAAAGCAGTAATCTTAGATGGAAACTGGGGCTCAGGACAACTAAGTTGCTTTTGGGGGTCTATATTGCAATGCTTGGGATTGAACCCAGGGCTTCCTACATGCTAGGAAAACATTACCAGTGTGTAACTCTACCCTGGAGTTTAAAAATGAGCAGAAACTGACTTGCTTTGTTTTTCGGGAGAGGGAGTGGCTCTGGCCTCAGAGATCCACCTGCCGCAGCCTCCTGAGTGCTGGGATTAAAAGCATGCGCCATTACCACCTGGTGTGAAACTGCCCATCTAGCCTTTGGATTTTAACTATACCAGTTTTGTTTGCTCTTCATTTCAAGAAGAGCTACTTTTCTCCCCTAGAGCTTCACACTGAACTCCAAACAATTTCTGTGACCCAGCAATTCGGTTAAAAATTTAACTGACAAAATTCAACATGAACCCAGAGCCTGTTCCAAGGCTCTCAGTCCCCACTGCTCCCTGCACATAGCCGGTACACACTCTTAGCGGGCTCCAGTGCCCCTGCAACCGTCCTCCATACCACTTCTGTGCTACACGGCTGGTATGATCACGATTGTCCCGGGCCTCTTAAGTTGTGTGGAGACATAAAACTTCTCTCTCTCTGTCTCTCTGTGCGTATGGCAAAGTGATGGTCTATGCTTGTGCATGCATGGGTGGAGGCAATTGACAGCAGGTGTCTACCATTCTCCACTTTATTTTCTGAGAGAAAGTCTCTCACTGAACCTGGAGCTCAGCAGTTGCTAGGGTGACCTGCCAGCGAACCCCTGGGGTCCTCCAGACTCTGCCTCCCAGCTCTGGAAGAGGGGCAGACATCCTCATCAGGCATGGGGATCTGAATTCAGGTCATCATGTACTTAAGTACTTTACCCACTCAGCTAGCGGTCTCTCTCCAGACCTAAATACCCTGGGACCGGTGAGATGGCTCAGTAGATAAAGACATTTGTTGCCAAACTTAAGCACACTGAACACACACATTCTGGCACACAGAGGTACTTAAATTTTGTTAAGTGAACAGCCAAGTATTTGCAGCAGAATTATTGAAAACAAAAGGTCAAAATACCTGCATGCCTGTCAATAATGGGCACCCTTGTTCACACATGTGAAGATTTGAAGCAGAGGCACCTGGAATGCCCTCTTGGACCCGATGCAGCAAAGAATGCTTAGCAGAACTGTCTTTCTGGACAGCTAAGGGGGTGGCAGTGAAGCTTACTTTATTTACATTGCATGCAGAGGTGCCTGCACTACTGTTCAGTAAGAAACGACTTAGTAAAATGGGAAGGAAGAGGAATGAGGTAGTGAGGATCATGGAAGAAACATAACTCCTGGTAGTGAAACAGCCAGTATTGCTTGGGTGGGTCTCTAAAATCCTCAAAGCTTGGAGTTCGCTCTGAATAAATGATAGCAGTCGACCGCTTCTCTCCTCAGAACCCACCAGCGTCCGAGATATTTGAGGTCAAAGAGTCTTCGGTACCGAAAATGCAGCAAAGCAGAGCACAGGGACTCAGCACCCGGCTGGTTTTGAGAACTGCACGACTACCGTCGGAGCTGGGCTTTGAACAAATCCACAACTGCACCCCACGAAGGCACCGGGACGTGCGACCGTGAGCTGAGGGCTCGTCCACTAGCTAGAGAAGGGTGACATACGAAAATGTGTGGCCACCAGAATGCACACACGATCTGAGTTCCGGTACCCCAGGATCTCTCCACGTTGTCACCACGCGGACGCCACTCACCGCGAGCCGCAGCCGGGAACTCTCGTAACGCCCTCCGCACAGAGTCCAGTGCCGCCTCCGCCATGACGCCCGCGGGAAGAGAGCCCGCCCCTATTTCCGCTCTAGGCTCGAAGCCCCGCCCCCATTTCCGCCCTCGCCCCGCCCCTCAGGAGGTGAGACAAACGGCGCTTTCTAGCCAATTTAACAAATGATTGTGTTTATTGACAATTTCATACATCAGTACAAACGAGACGTTAAAACAGCCCCGCCCCGTACAGCCGAGGAGACAGGCGCCACAGTATAAAAGTTATAAATAAGGGGCTTTTCAAAATTGGGATGGGACAAATCTGGACGTAGGCGGCTGTTGCCCGAGGCCTCAGACATGCAAAGGAAACTAAGCGCCACTGGCCACAAGACCCCATCCATGCAGGGTAGAGGCGCAGGGAAACACCGGCTCCCTCAAGAAGGGTACGCTGGCTAAGACCCTCTAAGAACCTGGCGGAGGTCAGGGCAGCCCTATTGTAGTGGGCGGATTTCTAATCCTCTGGATGACAACTGGTCGGTCCTTAGCCGATACTGTTCTTCGGGCTAGAAGTTTGGCCAGGCGGGTAGTAAAAAAAATGGGAATACATGGTTTGGGTGTACTTAGGACACCCCAGCTGAACCTCCAAAGCTAAGCACCTATTAAAACCATTTCTTTTTAGCCTCTGCCTCCAGAGCTTGAAAGGCGCTTCGGCAGGTTTTTGTTGTCTAAACCTGGTGAAATATCACTCTGCCATATCTGATTCAGAGGGAAGGAGGACCCAGAGACACATACTCATCAATTCTGTAACTACGTCACTACTTGTCCCTACCTACAGCCTGCCTACACCTTCTCTTTACCTTCTAACAATGACCTTAATTCTGTCCCCCTACCTCTGCCACCTGCCTGTCCACCTATCACTTTTCCAGCATGTCTCTTGCCCAGACCCACCACTCCACAATCTTCAGCATTCAGTATCTCTGGACACCCAGCACTGCCTTTGAAAAAGATCCTCCTCCATGAGCCAGGTGTCCCATAGCCATCTCCTGTCAGCCTGGCTGTGAACAACCAAGATCCCAGAATTTTAGTGTGCTCCTTTTCATGTTTCTGGATAAGAGTTCTAACGAAGCCAGGCTAGTGAAGTTGAGGCCAAATGTGAAGAAATCAGGTACATGTACCAGCCAGGCAAGTGTTTTAACAATGAACACTCAACTGTGTATAGTGTGTGTGTGTGTGTGTGTGTGTGTGTGGCCAAAGTCCTAGGAAGATGGGCCAGTGCCCTGTAAACCATGAGGGAACTCCCAATACAGGTTCCTGATTGCGCATTGCCCAGGATAGAGGGAGAAAGTGGTCCCTGGGGCTTCAGTAGTCCTCTAGAGACCAGGGTTAGAGAATGAAGAGAGCATAAAGGGTCGAAGAAAGTAGGCCAGGCTTTGTGTTTGCCCAGCAGAGGGCTTTACTGTCCTGCAGTAAGACCCCATAACTGGCTCCACAAGGAAAAAAAGGGATGGGGGTAGAAAATGCTGGGCTCTCTTGCAGGGAGAATGGGAGTGGAATGTGGGGGCTCAGGTCCTGATACAACTCAAGTCTTCTAAGGGCTGGGAATCCCCTGGAGGGCCAGGCAGCTCTACCTTTCTCGACTGCCAGGAACTGGGGAAAACCATGCCTGCTTTGGCAGTCAGGAGAGTGCAGCTGGTGCAGGGGTAGAGGCAAGGGTCTACAGTTGGCTTAGGGCACTAAATAGCACATCGCCTTTCATCTCTACCCCAGAGTACCCTGTGTTTGCTCCACCCCAGGGAGCTGATCCCTGAAGTAACTTCAAATGGCTTCTGAGAAGGCCAGCCCTTCCCGATGTTCCCAGATGAGGCAGGCTGCCCTCCTACCCCTCACAGCACCAAGATGACATAGACTTAAGACTGCCCTGCTCATAGGAGCCACTGGAGGGGCTTTAGAGGCAGGAGTCTCAAGAAGTGAGGCAACAGTCAGGGAAATAAATTAATAAATACAGGGGCCCCATGAGGAGCAGCTGGGAAGGCTGCTTTGCCTCTGAGCGCTGATCCCTGCCATCCACTCCAGACATTCTCACAGGTTCTGAGGAGCGGAAGAAAGGCTACAGTTTGGAATGGGAGCATTTCTCTCAGAACAGGCTTCTACAACTCAGAGTCTGCGCTCCATACGCCGCTCCACAGCTCGAAGCAATAGTTCCGAGTACTGCTCCAACAGGGCCTGAGTTTGCTCAGCCCCCACAGCCCCAGGGCTGCTACCCGGGCTGGACAGCGCAGCCCCAGTCAGGGCCTCTAGCTCCTGCCGCACTGAAGAGAAGGTGTCTCTCAGGAGACGGGTGATGTGGCTGTGCTCTGCTGAAGGAGTCTTACAGCTGGTCACCTGCAACGAGAGCACCGCCAGTGAGGTGGAGAACCAGCGGAGGATGAGTACAGAAAAGGGGGCTCCACACGGGCTTAGCCTGCCTAGAGGGGACTAGCTAGGAGGATCAGAGCCACTCTGATCAGTGACCCAGATGAAGGTCCCTCCAGATGAACAGAACCATCTACTTCTTCTTGACCACTTTTCCCAATAACCCACCCAGGCTGCACTTCTCCTTCAGACGTGGGTGCTGTTAAATCGTTTCCTATATCTAAAGAGCCCACACCAATTTGGGATATGAAAAAGCATACTATTAATAGTTACACTTGGTGTGGGAGAATTGTCTGTATTCTGTCAATCATATTTTAATAAAACGCTGATTGGCCAGGCAGGCAGTATAGGTGGGAAAGCCAGACAGGAAGTAGGGGTGGAGCAAAGAGACTGGGAGTATTCTGGAAGCAGAAGCTCCCTCAGCCACTCCTGCGCAGACCACCAAAGAGGCAGCATGTAACCTGCCCTGCTGAGAAAGGTACGGAGCCATGTGCTAACATAGATCAGAATAATGGGTTAAGATAAGTCATAAGAGCTAATAAGTAGCCTGACCTAATGGGCCAATCAGCTTTATAACTTATAGAGATCTCTGTGTGGTTGATTTTCCTTGGGGCTTGCTGGCTTGTTGGGGTACCGGGCAGGATGGAAACCCCAACAAGCCGGCCCTCATGCTACATACACTGAGACAACAGGCACGAACTGGGGTTTTCTTGAAAAAGATGATGTTCTAAGCTACAACCCTGTCTTGAGTGCTCCAGTTTTTGGCCAGAAATGACCAATAGATAGTGGGGTTGAGGCCTGACCTGGCTTCTCGGAATATTTCTGAGTGCTCCACCCTGTGTGCAGGAGAACCCTGCTGCTGTTCTCTGGGCAGTAAAGCACGCAGCGCTGCCGACAGGCTGTCCTCCCACAGCTTGCTGCCCAGTACTCACCAAGTGGTAGAGATGCACTGCCCGGCGCACATTCCCCTGGAGCTCTGCCACAAGCTGCTCACACTGTTGCAGGCTCAAGGCCAGTTCTGAAGGACAAACACCAGTGAGGCCCAGCTGCTCTTTCAGGCATCCCAGCTCGGGCTCTCAGAGCAGTGCTGTAATCCCCGCCAGTCCACAGGCCCTGCCCCTTGCCCACTCTCTTCGAACACCTTTCCCGACACCACACAGACAGAGCTTAGAGGAAAAGCCAGCCCTAGCTCCAGCCCGAGAACCAGCCCCAGGGTACAGAATACATTAAAGGGTTGAATGGATCATAGGGAGATCATGAAGGGTGGCAGGAGTCTCACACCACGAGGAGTGGCTTAGAGACCAAGACAGGAGCAGACAGGACAGAAAACGCTGGATGCACATACATGAGATGGAGTCAGAAAGTGGCCAATAGAGACAGGAAGATGATAGGGTGAGAGATGAGACTGGGGAGCTGTGCACACCTGAGTCCTGGCTCAGGGCTGCCCCTGGCCTGGTGCATTCCATGGGGTTAGGAGTCTTCTCAGGGGATGGGGGCTGCAAGCTCTCAGGGTCTTGGAGGAGGTTGCTGACCGGCAGTTGCTGGGCACAGGAGTGGTTGGGGCCAGGATGAGTCTGGCACTCTGTCCTAGGTTTAGGAGTGGTACCCTCCCCTAGACAGGCCCGCCTTTCCAATGTAGTGTGAGCCTTTCCTGGGCTCATCAGGGATCCAGATTGTTCTCCTTCATTATGGACTTGGCCCTTGGTTACAGGTGAGAATGTGGTCAAGGTAGGACGGTCAGGCAGTGGTTTGGGGATGTCCAGGACAAGGTGAGCCCGGCTAGGCAGAGCTAGCTTGTTGAGTGGTGAGATTCGGATTGGTGCAGAAGCTTGAGGTTCAGTCGCCAGGCCCGGGTTCTCCCCAACAGAAATGCTACGAGCTAGCTTGGCTGCAGAATTGGTGGTGGGGTTCTGGCAGGAGTGGGGCTGAGATGGATAGCTATCAGTTTGTGGCAGTGATCCTAAGCTGCCCTGGATCTCCACCTCTCGGAAGAGCAGAGGACGTGATGAAGGCACCTCATCTGCACCAAAGACAGGGACAGATGCAGGTCACGTTGTCGGGAAGGTATGCCAAATTCTAGGGTTCAATCCCTAGTTGCTACTTTCCCCCTGAACATGACCATTCCAAGGGACATGTAGTGACAAGCACAGAGATATACCAGGGCCACACTGGACCCACCTTCCTCCAGCATACCCACATACATGTTCGTATTCCCCATAGCCTGGAGCGGAGCATACCAGGTTACTTACCCTGTGGTACTAGACTGTGCACAGACTGGGCTTTCTGGAGTCCAGCTAAGGAGCGGGCTGGAGCCATTTTCTTGGGGGCCCAGCTGTTATACAGGTTGTTACGCCGTCGTGGTAACAGCACAGGAGCCACCTGCTGGGGGCCGGAGTTGCCAGAAGAGGGTTCCATTTCTGGGGGTGCTCCTGGGGGAGTGGCACCACTGCTTTTCAGCTGGTCACCAGATACCTGTGACACCTGGTCAGATCTTGGTATCAGGACCAAGCTTGAGGAGGATAAAGATGGTTCCCTACAGGGAAAAAGGGTTTAGAACGGGTCCAGAGAAGGTTCAGTGTTTTCCTCCCTCTAAAATTGCCAGATGCTCTCACAGACAGAGAGGCACCAGGAGAGGACAATCACAAAGCAAGACGGTTTGGGTGAAGCCACTAGTTCCA